TCCCAGAACTCCCTATGTAGACCAGGCTGGCCTCAAACTCACAAAGATCCACCTGCCTCTGCCTCCCAAATGCTGGGATTAAAGGCGTGCGCCACCAAGTCCGGCCCAGCATTTCTCCTCCTTTTCATAGACCCAGATTCTAGTTCCTCTCCTCTAGTAGGGCTTCCTCAATGCCATCTTCCTCACGGAGTTTTCTACCCATCTAGCACAGGGCACAATGATGATCGGAGAATGCTCAGACTTTCTGGTGAGACAGGTTCCTGGCCAAAACCTCAGGGGAGGTATAGTGCCTCAACAGAAGGGCAACGTGTTTTCCGAATGAACAATGGCGCAGAAGGGACCACTCATGTAGTGGTACAAGCTGAGTGTTATCCCTTTTATATAGCTAAACATTTAGCTGCAGAGATGCCTAGGATCCCATGTTAAGCTCCTCTACTTGCCATACAGATGTGTTCCCATTCTGCTCTGCTGCTCTGATTATAAGTTACCAAAACTACTACTCCCCAATACCCAATTTCCATGAAAAGACACAGCAAGGCTTACTCAAAGGCACAAGGCCAGTGCATCAAGTACAGGTCCAGATACTCCAGCTGGAGGTCAGCCAGTGTCTTCCGGAGAGCAGCTTCTACATCCTCAGGGTGGTGCTTTGTGTTCCACAGCTTGGATGTTACAAACAGCTCCTCCCGAGGCACCAACTGGGACAGAGGCAGAGCCCATTATCAGAGAAGCCCTGGGAACTCAATCTCACCTACTCACAATTTTTGTTTTGGGGTTTTTTTTTTTTTTTTGGGTCTTTTTGTGACAGAGTCTCCCTGTAGCCCCAGGTGGCCGCACATAGATCGACCTGTCTCTGCCTCTGCCTCCTGAGTGCTGGGATTAGAGGCGTATGTCACCACGTCCAGCCTGGCCTTCCCACAGTTCTAAGAGAGGAACAGGCATAAATGTGCCCCAGAACGTCTCCCAACATAAAATCATAAATTTACTTAATATCATGAGGGGGCCAGGTGTGGTAGCACACGCCTTTAATTCCAGCATTTGGGAGGCAGAGGCAGGAAGATCTCTGTGAGTTTGAGGTTAGCCTGGTCTACATAGTGAGTTCCAGGCCAGCTGGGGCTACAGGGTCAGAAAATGAGGGTTTATATATATGCATTTGCATATATATGTTTGGTAATTCAATTGTGCAGTTCTCAAGTGGGAACTTTGCAAATGATAATGCCATGATGCCACTTTCCCTCAGCCACACCACAGTCCCAGCTTCATCCCTAAGTTCTTACACCCCATCTTCTTTGCATCCCCAGTTCTTACCTTGCCTGGTCCCACATTCTCCTTCAGGGCCTCCCCAATCTCAGGTTCATTGCCATATACAGCAGCACAGTCAATGTGGCGGTAGCCTACACTAAGGGCATATTTAATAGCTGCTTTCACCTGCCAGAGGGGAGGAAGGGAGATTTCAGTTCTATAGTTCCAAACTACAAACTTCAGCCACTACTGGTAGGGGAGAAGGAACACATGAAGGCCATGCAGGTGGGAGCGAGAGAATATAATTCTACCACTTGGTAGATAAAGGCAGGAGGATCAGAAGTTCAAGGTCATTCTATAATCCCAGCACTTAGGAGGCTCAGGAAGGAGGACCTATATAGGCTACATGATAATTTCCAGACCTGCCTGCGTTACACAGTGAGATCATCTCAAAAAGAGAAACAAGGGGCTGGAGAGATGGCTCAGCAGTTGGGAGCTCTGGCTTTTCTTGAGAAGGACCTGGGTTCTATTCCCTGCACCCACATGACAGCTAATAACCTTTGGTAACTCCAGTTCTAGAGGATCTGATGCCCTCTTCTGACCTCTGTGGTCACTGCATGACAAGGGTGCAACTACAGACATACAATACACTCATACACATAAAATAAAAAAAATTGAAAAAAAGAGAAACCAAAACAAAGAAAAGGAGGAGGCAGCAGAATATTTTTTAAATATTTTATTTTTTTATTTTTTTATTTTATGTGTATGCGTGAATTGCCTGCATGTAGGTGAGTGCACCCGTATCATGCAATGTCGCAGAGGTCAGAAGAGGGCTTCGGATTCCCCTGGAACTGGAGTTAAGGACGATTGTAGCGCCATGTGGGTGCTGGGAATAGAACCCGGGTCCTCTGCAAGTGCAGTCAGTGCTCTTAACCACTGAGCCATCTCTCCAGCCCACAAATATTTTAAAAATAATAAAAATATTTAAAGTTTCCTAATCCTCATTAGACAGTTGATCTAGTAATTCCTCAAGCCTTGACTATATGTCCAACTTAGGAATGATCCAATTCTCAAGAAACCAGTGAGGGGGATAGGAGACACGATCACAGCACAGGGGCTAAGTAATATGATATTAGAACTCAGAGCCCAGACCTGGGAACAGAGAGGCCCCATGACTGCCATGACATGTTGTGCAGGGCCCCAGTCTCTCCTGAGCCAGCTGGGGAAGCCAGGAGCTCAGGGTCAACCCGTCTTCCCCCTTCTCTTCCCACTACCCTCTAGACTTAACCTTATTAGAAGTATAATACAGAAAAAAAAAAAAAAAGTATAATACAGACTGCTCTCGAAAATATGGGGCCCCTCTCCCAAAACCCTCCTATTCCTTCACAGAGGCTCAAGAAATCTCCTTCCTCTTCCTCCCATTCTTTACCTGGCCAGGCTCACTCTTCCAGGTGCCCAGACCAATCAGAGGCATCTTCTGCCCAGTGTGCAGGAGGACACAGGAAGCTGTCATCGTGTCCTGAAACACAGATGGGAAAAAATGGTGAGGAGGTTAATGCTATGCTTTGGGCCTTAGCCATCCACAGTCAAGAACCCTACAAAACATGGGTCAGGAAGTAGGCAGAGATGGGTGAGGATAGATGTGCTGTTGTACAGGACTGTCCTCAGATATCCACACCTCCCATCCCTTGGTGGGCCCTGACTGCACTTGGCCTCAGGGATGGGGTAGTATATGTAGGCTAGAGACTAAGGGGGGTGGGGTGCTCCATTTATGTGGCTATGGGAAACTCTCATCCATGCTGGTTGAAGATTTCCTGGTGTGGCTTGGGGAGAAGTACCCACACTCCTGTAAGAAACCCCGCACCCACTGCTCTGTAAGCCCAATAAATGCACGATTTTCCCAGGTGAACTTTGGTGGCACTGTACTTTGGCACTCTCAGGAAAATAATTTTATTTATTTATTTATTTGGTCTTTCTCCTTGAGACAGGGTTTCCCTGTAGCCCCAGCTGGCCTGGAACTCTCTATGTAGACTGGGATAGCCCCAAACTCACTGAGATCTGCCTGCCTCTGCCTCCCAGTGCCGGGATTAAAGGCACGTGCCACCACGCTCAACAGGAAAATATTTTTAACAAGTACAGATCAAAAATATTATTATATTGTCCTGGATAGCTTTAGATGTCAACTTGACACACATGGGTAGAGGGAGCCTCAACTGGGGAACTGCCTCCATTGGACTGACCTATGGCCATGTTTGTGGGGCATTTTCTTGATTGTTGAGTGATGTGGGAGGGGTGAGCCCACAGTGGTGGTGCGAGCCCTAGGCAGGTGGTCCTGTATTATATAAGAAAGCAGGTTGAGGGGCTGGAGAGATGGCTCAGCACTTAAGAACACTGAATATTCTTGCAGAAGACCTGGGTTCAAATCCCAGCACCCACATGGCAGCTAACAACTGTCGATAACTCCAGTTCTAGGGGATCCAATGCCCTCTTCTGACCTCCGTGGGCACTGCATGACACAGGTGCACTCCCATACATTCAGGCAATACACTCATACACATAAAATAAAAAATAAAATATTTATAAAAAAAACAAAGAAGGAGCTTGCCCTTAGTCCTAGCATTCAGAAGGAAGAGGCAGGTGGATTGCTGTGAGTTCATGGCCAGCCTGGTCTACATAGTGAGCTCCAGGCCAGCTGGGGCTACAGGGAGACATTGTCTCAAAAAAACAAGAAGGGAAAAAAGAAAGAAACAAATACAGAAAATTAGTCAAATAGAAATAGCCCAAGAATTCTCAGTTAATGTTGAATGTTCCAGGCTTTGAGACAAATTTAAATAGGGTTCCAGTCTCTTTGTGATTATGGTCTCATGAGAGACACAGCCACTCCTACAATCTGACAAGGGCTTTGACAAAAACATGTACAGGGGCTGACATGGACAACAACAAAGCTAAGCTAAGGTGGCTTTTGGGAGATGATACTGGAGCCAAGTATTTTGGTTTGGTTTTTTTTGTTGTTGTTATTGTTTTGTTTTTTGTTTTTGAGACAGGGTCTCCCTGTAGCCCCAGCTGGCCTGGAACTCACTATGTGGACCAGGCTGGCCTTGAACTCACAGAGATCCACCTGCCTCTGCCTCCTAAGTGCTGGGCTCAAAGGCATGTGCCACCATGCTGGTATTTTTGGAGCCATGTTTTTAAAAATGAGTGAGGCTGGGCATGGTAGAACAGGCCTGTAATCCTAGCACTTGGAGGTAGGGGCCGGATGATCAGGAGTTCAAGGTCATCCTTAACTACATATTGTTTGAGGCCAGCCTAGGCTACATAAGACCCTGTTTCAAAACAAAAGAATAGGCCTGGTGGTATAAACTGTAATCCCAGTTTCATGGGAGGATGAGGCAGAAATGCAAATTCAACAGTCAATGAAGTAAAAGAAACCTTTCCCCTTGATCTTCCTGGTAGCATAAATACCATTCCCCTGGGATTGATTTAACTGCCAACATTACCTTTATAAATATGACCTTTGTTTCCACGTTTTGAAAGAGTATGCTAGAAGAGGTAATAACACAAGGTGAAAGTAATCTAATACACCAGTTGTCTTTCCTACTGCTTCTGACCCAGGAAGAATTTTACAGTCCAGCATAACCTGACTCTTTCTACTAAAACTACAACAAAACCGGTGAAACCAGACAGCAAACCAGACTTCTGAGAGCATGATTTGGAACACAAACTTCCTAGGGATCAAGCAAGCAGATCTGGGTATAGGATCCTGGGCTTGAAAGCAAACAAGCTGTTTACTTCTCCCAGGTTTCTCAGCACATGAGAGGGCTCTGAACTACAGTAACAGGAGCCTGAACAAAAGTCTAG